AAATATAAACAAACAAAGAAATAAATGTTTTTACAATTTTTTAACATTATTTAAATTAATGTAAAAATTAGAAAATAAGTAAAAATGATACAAAAAATAATAAAAAAGTTTAAAAAAAATTTAAAAATACAGCATGTGGTTCCCCTCCAAAATCATACCAAACCCATTAGGTCTGGTAGGAAAGTTAGGAGGGACCCCTATTAAAAAAAAAACAAAAAAAAACGTGGGGGGTTCCACCCCAAAAGTCATACCTTAAGGTCTGGTAGGGATTTTAAGGGGGTCCCCCTAAAATTCTCAACCAGACCCTTGATCCGAGCACAGGCCTGGCAGGGCAGGAAAAGGGGGGTGAGCGTGCGCCTCCCCCTCCCTCGGCACTTTTGTTGTGGGGGTGCGGGCAGGGGGGCTAATTCACATCAGGGTACCCCTTTAATAAAGGGCAGCCAGATGCACCCCCCCTTGTGAATGAGTAAGGGGTACTTGTAACCCCTACCCATTCACTAAAGGGTTAAAGTAAAAGTTAAAAAAGAGGCCCTAGTTTAATCAAAAATCCTTTGATCAGAACAAAAACACAACAAAGGATTTTTGACAAGTCCTTTTAAAAAAAAACCTCAAAAATGGACCCGCTGATGTAATCCTATGGTTAATAATGATGTCCAGCATTGTCCACGACTCCCACCACAGAATGAAGAATCTGACAGATGCTGGCAAAATATAAACAATTGGGCGGAGCTAGCGGTGGCATCACCACTAGCTCCGCACAACTGTTTACATTTGGCCGGCTCCTGCCAGAGTCTTTCAGCAGGTACCGGAAAAATGAAAACCACTGGGCGGAATCAGTTGTCATGTAATGAAAGCCCAGTGTCCTCAAATAACCTGAGGATGCTGGTCTGCCATTACATGACAATAGCTGGGCGGAGGCAGCCGTGACATCATGGCCGTTGCCACCCAGTTGTTGTTTAATGACAGAACAGCGCCCCCAGGTCATTTGAGGATGCTGATCTGTCATTACAGTGCAACAACCAGACGGAGCCAGCCATGAAATCTCAGCTGGCTCGGCCCAGCTGTTGTCATTTAAGGGGAGGATGGTCTGCTTTGCAGACTGTTTGCCCTACTTCGGCTCAGACTACGGCTCACAGGCTATAGTGAATACAGCAGCCCTTCGGTTCGACCGAACCGAACAGCTCCAGTGGCCGAAGTTAGCCAAAGGATCAGCCGAAGCTAAGGCTGAATCCTTCACTCATTAGTGAATAGCCCTCCTAATATTTTTATACTTTTGCCCCACTAAGAAGATTCATCAGGGGAAACTATAATGTTACTTTCCCAAATAATATAACAAACATTTCTTAGTAAATAGCGCATGATGATGATGATAATAATAATGATGATGATGGTGATGGTGATGGTGATGATGATGATTTAGGAAGGAAGACAAATGCATTGCTGCATAAGGTTCAAAGCTGCTTCCCTGTTCAGGGCCAATTCATGATTGCTTTTTGTACTACTAATTTTTCCATATCAGTGTTATTTTGTTTTATTCACTGTTCATGGAGGATTCCCTCTGAACCATAAAGTTACATTTTGGTGATGTTTTGTAAGATTTTGAAGGCCTTAGGGTATATTTACAGATCTAAACTTTAGCCTATTTACATTAGGGTAAATGTGCATCAAATTATTGTGACAGTCAATCAAGCCAGAGAATGTCACATTTACAGTAAGCTGTGAAATTTGCCTCTAACCTGACAGATTTCTCTCAGAGTGCTGTTTTTTTTTTAACAGTGTTCTAGCACTAGAATGGCTTCATTTATTACATAGTTTTAGCACTAGGAGGGCTGACGTGAAACTTAACTCAGGAAATAAATATTATAAATGCATTCAAGTACCCTAGCTATTAACAAAAATATAACTTATTTGTGTATCACTCAGCTGTAGAGCATCAAATCGTCTCTGAATTGGTGCTGACACTGTCCTTCCTTCTGGAGTGTGTTTACTTTTGTTCCCCATGGTCCCTACGTGTGCTGTAAAGTAGCCACCGCTCCAAGCTCACTCCTGTGATGGACTACAATCTCAATACAAATTAGTAAAATAAACATGACATTTGTGCTATGAACATAAGGGCATGCGGTGAATGTGACTTGTATTAGTTGATGTGGTTTAGGTGCACATTGTTCTTGCCCTTATTTATTTCAGATGATGTAGAGGCTTGGGGCGAACCAAAGGTAGCTCCATGGACAGTGTTATGGTAAGCTCTGAATACCTGTCAGGCTTTACCGTTCTCCTCTGAGAATCCCAGCTAGGATTTCCAGAAGATCCGCTACTAATGGATCTCACAGAGTCCAGGCCAGTATGGCTAGTAATAGTAAAAGATTCCAGACCAGGACTTCCAGTGTACCATGAGGCTGGGCGCGTCGTCTCTGACTCAGAAGGGTATTTAAGCTCTATCTCTGCAGGGAGCTGGTGCTGTGTCTTTTTGCCAGCTTCCTGTTTGTCTAAAGAACTTCTGCTGTTTTCTCGTTGCTGACCTGGACCGCCTGACCCTTCTTTGCTTGCTGCCCGCCCTGATATTCTGCCTGGACCCGACTTTGCTCTTGTCTCCTGCGTTTATCCTCTGATTACTCCTTGCTGACCTGGGACTGTCTGACCACCCTCTGCTAGCCGCCTGCCTTGAACTCTGCCTGGATCTGACTACTGTCTCCTCATTGGAGCCCTCCTGTTCTCGTCCATCCCTTGGTGACCTGGGGATCACAACCTGCTACCAGCAAGCAGCCAAGCTTATCTCCACCATCAGGAGCTCTGGTTCACACCGGCTGGTAGTTAGACTCCACGCCTCAGGGAAGCCTGTGTCACCTGCCAGGGGGTGTCACCCTAACAGGCAGATGGCAGCAACAATTGAATGCTGTACTTTAGGCATCCAAAGCTTAATAAAATCCTGTCAAATATAATATACACATAATAAAATAAAAATCAGGAAGCTCCCAAAAACAAAAACAAAATACCACCACTAAAATAAAAGCCTACTTATAATTTAAAGGCTTGCAGAAAAAAAACGGTTTAACCTGAAGAAAGCCTTATCAACATAAAAGAAAAAATAATATACCCCAAATTAAATAGAATCCCCAAAATACCTTCCCTCTAAAACAGGGGACACCATTTTTTTCTAAAGCCTTGCTGCAAAAAACAGCTGCTAAAAGTGACCTCTGACCTCAAATCAACCACAAATGAAAACCAAAAAAAGCCCCCAATAATAGGAGCAAAGAAAGGAAGCAAATGGGTTGATTGCCCAAATAGCTAGCAATCAGAGTTTAAGTAGCATTAAAACCTTGTTTTCAAAAACAATTCGGTATTTATAGGCAAAGATGTATGCCAGTACACACATTATTTTGTAAGTTCCCTGAAGTGTGATGGGGTAAGGTAAGTATATCCTCTTAATTTTTGTTTCCTTAAAGGTATATTCTTCAGAGTACTTTTATTCAGTGATTTCTACAGGGGAGGAGGCCCTGTTGTAATAAGTGAACCTTGCATTTTACTGCAAGGTTCATGTCCTTCTTTCATTTTCTTTCTAAAAAGCCATGCTGCTCCATGTCTTTTAATCTGCCACTGAACACCTCCATTATTCGTGCTGACCAGGTTCGTAATAGCACTCCTCAGAAAAATAGGGATGAGGATATAACTGTTTTTTTAAATGAAAACATTTTAAAAACATTAAAAACAAGTATCTTACAAATAGCATAGCTATCAGATGTGCAGCTTTGCAATGCATTTTGTTTATAAGCCTTTACAAAGGGTTACCATGAGCTTTACTGGTTCAATTTTAAAATAAGCAATACAATATGAATACATTTCAGAAAAAAATGTTTTTGTAGAATGATATGCCAGATAAATATTGTTGTGTCATTATATATTACTGTGCATGTTTAAGCAACATGCAAAGTCACAGTCACAACATATATTTTTTAATACTTTCAGCAACCTTATACCATAGCTTCTGTAAATGGCGACAACAAGGCTGGTTTATGAATACTGCAGCAAAACTGGAGCTAGGATCTAGTTAAACTCAAAGCTTTATTTATTAAAACATTTATAAAAATGAAAGATCAAACCTGATTGGTTGCTCTGGGCTCCAACTCTACTTGGGCTTTTATTCGATCAAAGTTTTTGATATAACTGCTTTTTGCTTCAAACTGATGTGAAACCTAGTCTCTAAATGAGCTGTTCTGAGCTTAAAGTGACATTAAACCCTCAGATTTTTTAACATAAAACAATACTGTAATGTGTGGCTTACTGTAATCCATGGTTGTTTCCCTTCTCTTTGCTGCTCTTCCTTTTAAATCCTTATCTCTTCTCATACTGGGCAGAACTTCTGTTTTGCAGCAGACTGCCTTGTCTCTGAAATGGATACATGGTGTCTGTGTGAAGGTTCACAACCTGAGCCAGCACTACAGGAAGAGGCCCTCAGCTGCAAATGGAAGTTCTCCCCCAGCATGAGAAGAGATACAGATTTAAAAGGAAGAGCAGCAAAGAGAAGGGAAACAACCATGGATTACAGTAAGGCGCACATAACAGTATTGTTTTATGTTAAAAAATCTGATGGTTTAATGTCACTTTAAGAATGTTAAAATTCAATAAATAAGGTCTATTTAAGTGTGTCATTTATCACACATTGGTCAGCTCTTTCTGCTTCCCTATGATGTTTAGTTCAGTACTTAAATGTCCACAATAAAATAAAAAGTTTCAATGCAGTAGTTTTATAGTTGTGCATATTACTTTTAATTCTGCCATTTTGAGGCTGTCTGAGATGTTTCTTCCAGACAGATGTTTTATGTGGGTGTAATTGAAGCTTTTAAAGAACTTGGTGAATTTAGCAGCTGTGCTGCTTACAGCCCAATGGACAGACATTTTATTTTTGTCTATTTTGCTCTCATCATATCTTTCTGAAAAAATATTAATTCACTTAGAAAATTAAGCAAATCATTCATGGTATTATTCTCACTTTTCTTTTACAGCATAGGAGAAAGCTTTTATGAACTTTTCCAGATAGACTTCAGGGTTGGCAGTGCAACAGACCCATCAGGAGTCCAGATAATCACCTGGCAAGTGGAATACCCTGGACAGGCTGTTTCAGAACCCGGAGTATCCAAAATATACGTCAGTGAAAGAGACATTGTGGCTGTTATACCACTTGCAATGGTAAGGTGAAATAGGGATGGATACACATTTATGAGTACCTACTTAGAATTTTAATTTAATTTGATTGAAGATTTATTCTTATGATATTTTCAGAATGTAATAGAATACTGAAAACATTAGAGGTGAGCCAATAAAAGGAAAAGCTGATTCCGCAGTTGTCACTGGCCAGATTTATTTCCGATATGCCTTTGAAAAAAATGTAAATAAAAAAACAGACACACCCACATCAATACCAGCCTAGCATACAGACCCCAGTTATATGCATACCTGTGAAGAAATAATGTCCTTTCTCTACAAAAACCTAAGTAATGCAACTTTCTCTCCTTTCCCGGTGAGGTGGAAAGATCACTTATCCAGTCACTCTAAAGTTTATTTAAAATTAAGTGCAAATATTTAATTTAGTTTACCAGTCCTTACATGTGGTGGCTGCATTCGTTTTCCCTTTATAGGCTCCTTTATTTGCACTTGGTATCCTAGCAGTAATAATCTTTCTATCCTAGAGCATCAACACTCACTCGCTGTAGTGTATCAATGATAAACAGCAGTTTGACCCTAGAACAGGAAGTGTGTTAGGTCTACAGAACCTAACCGGGACACAAAACAGTTTTGAATTAGAAACTTGTGAATCTTCTGTGAAAGCTGTATAAATCTTGTGTGAAAAATTCACACAGCAGAAATGTAAAAAATGTGTCAGTCATTTATGAACAGAACCTGAAAATTAGCTCAGTCATGAAGGGGTTAAAATAGACCTTTATGTGTTTTACTATAGCTGCCAGGCTGCTTACAAAATACCAAAATGGAAGGATCTGATTGCTTGCCATGGCAAATACAGTTTTAATTCTAATCACTTTGAAAATTGTGGCTTTATATTTCAGATTTAGGTGACAACATGACTGTTCTTAATATTATATGGGTGAATCACTACATCATAAAAGCTAGCAATGACAAAGCTACTTTTCATATATTCAATATATCTTAGCATACTTTTTCAAATGAAAATCTAATTCTTTCATTTATTCATCACTTAATTATTATTATTATTTCTTGTCACCTGCACTGAATTTATAATAATTTGGGCAGGAGCAGCTGGTTCTCTCCCAAGCATATGAGACTGCTGCTGAAGATGTAATTGGTTAAGCGCTTAGATCAATAGGACAGCACAAGGGCACAAAGTGTTGTAAACGTCAGCACAAGTACCTTGAATTTTATTTTGTTGGCAATGGTCTGCAAAAGGAATTGCTCTTTTAATGGCCTAATGTGTAATCTTCTACCAAAAATTATAGATCAATTTAATGGCTTCATGTTTAGATAAGTGCACAACATGATGTGAGTAAGACGCCAGCAGTAATGAATGAAGAGGTGTACAGCGTTTTACAATCAATCAGCATTGGTAACAGATGTGTTGGGGCAATGGTGGGTCCAGCCACTAATATCCTACAGTTAATTATTAAACTCACCTAGGTGCACTCAGTAGTTTGAATGTTTAATCATCTTTTTTTACTGTAATTGTATCCTTACAATAGTTCTTTTTCTTACATTTATAAATGGAAGGTTAAAAAAATCGTGTTCAGTCTAGTCCTCAGGGTTCACTAGCACATTCATTGTCATTATCTAGTTTAGGCACCTCTGCATTAGTAACCTGTTTAATATTTTTAAAACTAAAGGATTGATTTTTCAAAGCCTGGAGACTAGACAGTATTCCTCTAGGTGCCTACAATTTTTTAAAGTATGTGTACACTCAGTCCCTAAAATCTCAGTCTATAGGCCTGTATCAATAGGCTGTTGTTTATGTCAGATGGCTTTTGCATTCCCATACAAGTCTTGAAGGAGGTCAAATGCACTTGTCTCTGTCACCAGCACTTGATGCCATCAACACAATCCCAAAGCCCATTGACACTAAACTCAGGAGTTACATCTTACAAATACATTCAAGAACTTTAACTATTACCAAAAATGTATCTTATTTGTGTATCACTCGGCTGTAAGATCATCAAATCATCTCTGAATTGGTGCTGACACTGTCCTTCCTTCTGGAGGGGGGCTACTTTTGTCCCCATGGTCCCTGTGTGTAAAGCAGCCACCACTTCAAGCTCACTCCTGTGATGGACTACAATCTCACGTTTAGTCTACTAATTTGTATTGTGATTACAGTCAATCACAAGAGTGAGCTTGGAGTGGTAGCCACCCTCCAGAAGGAAGGACAGTGTCAGCACAATTCAGAGATGATTTGAGCATCTACAGCCGAGTGATACACAAATAAGATACATTTTTGGTAATAGTAAAATGTATTTTTTAAGATTTAACTCCTGAGTTTAGTGTCACTTTAACATGTCAAAGAGACTTTGTCACAAAAGTCAAACATCTCAACAATGCTTAATAGATGTAAAGAAGAAACAGAATACTTACCTCTCCTACCGCCCGCTAAATACCACTCTGACATCTTGCACTGACCTATGGGAAACTGGTACCATCAGGAGTGAGGGCGGTAAGGAACATTCCAGAGCTGCGGCATAGGAGGAGTTAAGCTTCAGTGACCAGAGAAGCAGGGAGCCAGCTCAGCAGTTCAGGTGACTATAACGGTTTTTTTAGCACCTAGGTCAAAAGAGCATTGAATCCTGAAGGTATGGGGGTAGCCCCACTGCAAGGGTTAATAACAGTTTTGCTCAGAGTTGTTGATATCTTTAAATCTGCAGCTTTCCTTAAAATAATGTATACCCAAAAAGCACTGCACTGTCTAAACTACAGTATATAGATCAGACTTAAATTAATGCAATAAATTAAATGAAAAAGAAATCAAGATAATAATAATAATAAAAAAGTGTACTCCAATCGATTTGTGGATGTGCAGCTGTTTTGAAAACTCAAATAAATGCTGTTTTATTAGGGTCAAAGAGCACTTTTCACCTCATATATATGCATACATTTTTTTTCACCACGAGTAAATGTAAAGATTCAAAGGCAAAATTCTGAAAATGCAAAGTCCCATAAAGTGAATATAGGAAATAGTCCCAAATGTACTATCTTCAAACAACTGCATGCAATGCTCCCAAAATGCTTAAAAATCCTCTTGCATATCTTCCCTGGTGAAGCAATCAATTACAATTCATGACAAATGGTATGACTCATGATACACAGTGCTTCGGCAGGCTAAAAGTCATTCAGTTAGGGCCATAATCTGCTTCAAAAGGGTTAAGAAAAATTTCCAGGAGTTCTTTAAATTCTGCTTTTAATACCATCACTGACAAACTGATATCTGAACAATGAAAAACAAAAGTCTACTTTTAGAATGTATTACATATGACAAAAAAATTAAATAAATGCCAAAAGTAAACAAATATCTCTTAATACTATTAGTTGTTTTTTTTTATCATCAGAGCTTTCTTTATTAGAGCCCCTGGCCAGTCTTTGCAAATTATTGCATATTGCATGTCTGTGGTGCAGTTGTTAGTTTTCTTCATGCGTCCATTTTCTAGTTTCACTATTTGGTTTTCATATGCTTTAGAGGTTACATCCTAGTAGAGTGCACAGAAGCCTGCATTTAATTATCATTATTGAAAAAATGAGGTCTGCTTCAGTTACAGGATTGAGTCATGTAATGATGGTGTTGTAGTGATATCAACAGAGACAAAGAGACACTTTGCCTGATGAAGGAACCCTGCAAGGTTCTATAATGTTGCAATTTCACTTTATGCTGCAAGAACATCAATCAATATTCTATAGCTGAAAAGTGTGCCGACAACATATCTTCTATCATGTTATGATCTTAAAACACTGGGCCACTGCATTCAGAAAATGCCCTTGTCTCCACCTTTTTATATACTTTATTTCAGTACCCAGAGTGTTACAAGAAGCATGGTCCTGCAGTTGGGTCAGTAAATATTGAGTGCATACTAAATTTACGTTTGTCCCAGAAGCACACTTTTGCCCAGAACCGCTCTGTTTTTTCTCCTTTCTGTTGTGGCAGCTTTTCAGTCTATATTTGCAGAGTACCACTAGTTTATCACAAAAAGCAGCATCTGTGTCTTGCCATGAGCACAACATCACGTTTAAGTCGAACAAGCATTTTACTCTGAGGCTCTGAGACTCTGAGAAAAAAAAAACAATTGTAAGATCGTAGGTCAGGAGGTGCCTGAAGAGGTCACAGTATGTCCATATAGATAAAATCATTAAGTACTATGATAGGCTAAATGTCTCATGTTCATGAATAGTTGAAGCATCTAATCAGTTGTGTAAGTAACCAGATAATGTTTATATAGCACATAAAATTGCTGCTTTTTTATCTTTCACTTTCTGTTCTATGCAGATATAATTCTCAGCTGATTCCATAGATTAGTCCAAAATTGTCATCCAAAACTGCTCGCACAGCAGCGGAAAGGCACTGCTGGAACAAATGAAATGGCCTCCAGCTTTTTTGCTAGTTTGCTTGTCATTGTATAAATGGAAATTTGCTTTCTATGAGAAATAAATGCACAACACATAATTAGTGTATCCCAGATGTGTTTGCACTGGGGAAGTTGATCACAGGAATACTACTTGAATTATCTAATCGCGTATACTTTTGCCACGGGCATCTACAACACAAACACTGTACCGCCTCCCAGTTCTCCTGTAATGCGGATAAAGATGCAAGCAAAAATGGAGTGGGAGATAAATGATCTTTTGTGATATGTTTGACATTTCCTTTCAGCCTACTCATCTGCAGAAAATGGTTAAAAGACTGGAGGAGCTTTTAACCTAAAAGATGGGGGGAGGGAATAAAAATGGGGTTAATAAACAGAGAGCAAGTAAATACAAGGACATTTAATATAGGGGGCTGTAATACAAGGGGGACAGAGGGCTCACTACAGTCAAACTAATTAGTAATGTATCAACCTGTAACAGTCGAGCAATTGTGCGTAGATGTGTGATGGATCTCAGCTGCGGATCTATACGGTTGCGGTAGGTTGTAGGATGTGGCTCAGTGGGGAGGTTCTCAGTAACACTCTATGTAGTAGTGAGTG